TCTCATTACAACATGCTTCACTTTTGAGCAGTCAGGTAGTGCTGCTGTAGGGGAAGAGTTTCGTAAAAATGGACGCTTTTCAGAGTCACAACTAGATGAGATGTCATTACGAGAGAAAGGTGATCCTCTTAATACAAAGAAACTAGTAGCACTACTGAAGCATCTTTATATTGTAGCTGGTCCAATGAAAACTAAAGATGGTCGAAAAACTGTCAAATATTACTTTATGCCTTGTGCTTTAAAACCGGTAGATGTAGAAAGAGAGGAGAGAGATGGGTCAGTTAGTCTAGCTCCTTTATTGATATGTTTTGAGTGTGGGTATACTCCTGTTGGTGTATTCTGTTGCCTATTAGCATATCTTCTTGATCAGAAGACAGATCAAGTATTAGAATGGAAGTTAACTGGTAATGATCAATATCGTAACAGGATTACCTTTCAAGTTGGTCAATACTATGATACTGTTACCTTAATCAGTCGTGCTACTTATCTTGAAGTTTGGATTCAACAGATAAAAGGCTTAGAGCTGTCAATAAGCCTCAATGATCTTTGTAATCAGATATTATCATCATTACACAAAGGACTAGTCACAGTCACAGAATCACTCCATTACACTTATAAGTCAAGGCATATGTTTGGAGTACCATGTACATGCACTGGAGTACCTCATCCTGCTGTAATAGAGTATCTTTCCGATGTAGCTAAGTGTACTAATGGTAATATAATGCAACTTGATGAGAAACATTTATACTGGTCTAAAAAGGTAATCAAATAATTGTTATTTACATGATGTGGCTGTACTCGCTATAGGTTGTTGATCTGAATATGGTACAAAAGATATGCAGCAAAGCATCTCAAACTGGTAAATCAATTTGATGTGTTTATATATTAAAAGAATTTGTCATAATTGTAGAACATGGCATTCCTAATATCTCTTCATCCAGTAGCAAAGCTGCAGAAAATATGGAAGGTTGTTTATGTTTTTATTTGTATTTACATTTTTGCCTTTTACTCGGCTAGACAGCAAACAAGATTTTAGTGGAAGCTCCATGGAAAAAATTAAAGAATGCTGTAAGTCTATATAAAATTCACTGGTTTGTTAATGTTTAATTATTTATAGATGCAGATACCATACAAGATGATTTATTGGTGAAGAATTTTTCAGTCTTGATAGCCAGATCCTGCCGTCAATAATGAAGGGCGGGGTCTGGCTACACGAGACTATGGACATTTTATTATAACGTGTATTTTAGAATCAAAGAGAAGGAAGAACTGAAGAGACAAGATTCAAGAATGAAGGTCCTAAGGAGAAAGAGAATCAAGAAGTACTTCTTAAATCCAGACTAGAAGCAGCTCAAGGTACCGTATAGTGGTTTTTTTTCGAGGATAATAAATTTCGCGAATGACCCATATCCGGAAGTTTGCAGAATTAATTTTCGCGAATTTTCACTAATCTGCCATCTTGTACCGTATTAAATTGATTTTCAAGGAATTTAATTTCGCAAATCATAAAAAAATCCACGAAATTTGCGAAATTTGTTATTCTCGAAAAAACCCGCTATACGGTACATACATTATCACTCACCAATCCAAGGTTCTGCCTATAAAAATTAGAGGTGTCCGGAGACTAATATTGTTCCTTTTAAATTTATTTACATGCTAATTGGATGGTTGGTCTAAGTGATGAGCTGGTTGGTTCATTTGTTGAGGTGGTTGTCCCGACCACCATAGGCAGAACTATGCAATCATAGGGTCAGAATTAATTGTGACTTGATATGAGAAAACCACAGGCTTATTAGGGCAATAATTATTTTTTAAAGATGGTTCCTCAATGTTATGACTGTGGGTGGTACCTTATCAAAAATGAAATTTCATCAAACCTCTATCATAAGTTTTCAGCATGTGCAGTTTGAATTGACCAATCAGATTGCTTTATTTGAAGTACTTATGCTACTGCATGAAATTATTTAGAAATCTTCCAGATTTACTTATTTACCTCCTGGCATGTTGCAAAACTTTACTTTTATCCATCTTATGGTAATCCATGGTATTTATAGAAAATCTGTCTGCCAGTAAGAGGTTTAAAATAGAGTATGGAGACTCTCATGATTACATCAAAAGCACTTTTAGTGAAGGGCAATCCTCTGGTATATCATTAAGGATTCTTAATTATTAGTACAACTAATTTTTATCTTTGTACAGACGAGACTATATGTAGGAAAAGAAAACTAAATGAAGATGAAGATGATTTATTGACTATAAAGAGGTTTAAATTATCTGATATTATTGACGCTACAGAAACAGAAACAACTACTGAACAGAAAAGCTCATCATCTCATAGTGCAAGTATGTCTCCATGTGTGAGATAATTATTTATGTGTTATTATTATGCATGTTATTAGTGATAGCATAGATAGGGTGATGGTCATGTATTCCTTATATCCTGTGTGGTTTCTGTACTAATTATTATTTCCTGTATGCATGTTTATAAGTATATGTGTGTGTTGTTCTGTCTGGACACTTCTTTGTATTCACTTCTCTCCTGGTGTTCTCTTTTTCTCTTTCTACTCATTTATCCTGTTGTAATTGGTTGAGTTCATTGATATTTATAAACGTTACACTGCATGCAGTAGTGTTAGCTGACAAATTTGCCTGATTGTACCTGTTAATCTGTTATATTTATAATAGGAGTGGGCATCATGTTTTTTAATAGTTTCATTTGAAATATTGTGTGAAATAATTCATGTGTGTGCTCTTGGAATGTTTGGCTAAATTTAAAATGCATGAGTATGTTTTCACCACTCATGTGGCCAGCCCTTCATCCTCCTTACAGAAGAAACATAAAGCATTATGGTGCAATGGACTCGGCCGCTGGAATTGACCTGAGCGATATGTGTTACTTGTACTGTGATACTTTAAGCAATTTGAAAAAAATTATTATTATTGACTGCATAGTTATAATAATTAAAATAAGCTATGGGTGTGGTCAACAACTATCATGCATGACCATAGATATTCATTATTATTATTATTATCATTACTTTATAAATGACATATCCCAATTATCAGTGATACTGGAGCCAGTTGAAGATGACTGGTATCACATTGGACAGTGTCTTGAACTAAAGGAATCAGTATTAACTAAAATCAAAGAGATGACACGAGTTGATTCAAGATTAACTCATGTACTTGAGACCTGGTGTCATGAGAAGGATAGAACAATTACTGAACTGAAGGACTCATTGAAAAGAATGGATAGAGATGATATACTGGAAGGTAAGGATTAGTGATTCGTATAATTAATTATATTCATGTACTGTACATTGTCATACTGTAGCTTTACATGAATTATCTACTAGACAATATACAATCAATAATGATAAAGAATATGATATTAATGATATATTGTTTGTAAAGCGCTGTTGACATTATATTAATTATCATTATTGTTAGTGAAAAATTCAAAAGAAGTTCAGACTCAAATTGAAACTGAAAATAAAGAAAAGCAAACAACACAAATAAGTATGTAAAATTTACATGTGCTTATTTATTTAGTTTTATACTTTAGCTCTTGACAAAGAAATTCAGTTTAACTATCTTGTACCATCACAAGGTTAAGATTGTAAAATTATTGTACATGTATTGGGCAAGTTTTGCTGAAAT